TGTCTTGAGGTCAGTGCTTTTGTGGGACGGAGGGAGGTTATGCAATGGGAAGCCAAAGTAATTAGGAGCACAGACCTCTGAGCGGCTCTCCCTGAGTGCAGGGAGGATAAAAAGGCAGGCAAGAGAATTTGCTTAATTAAACCACTGGAGGGGAAAAAAAAAAAAAGACAGCAAAAGTGTGCCAGACGTCCTTGATGTAAGTATGCTTGTGTGGGCCCTTGTAGCTATTCCTGGAGTAGAAATGGGTGGTTTTCATGTCGTCTTGTATCCTCTAAGCTGCTTCAACACTGACCCGGCTGACCATGATAAAAAAGGGCAAGCTGCTGGGGTTTGTACCCGCAGGCGACAAAGCAATTGGGAGTCATGCCAGCAGTTGGATCTGTTGGTGCCAGGTGACTCTTCCCTGCAGTGACACCTTGCATTTCTCCTTGGTATGCTAGGGAAATGGTTTTGTTCTCAGCACGTGCTGATGAGGTCCATGCTCCCAGCGGTGCTCACTGGCTGGCCCTGGTGTGCAGAGCCTGGCGTGTGGGTGCTCATCTGTTGGTTTCTTTACCATTACTAAAGAGGGGGCTGAGCTGCCTTGGATACAAGTAGGGCTGTCAACTCCTCCTTCTGCCTCCTGGGCTCTGACCTCCTTCTTCCCACAGGACACAGCAGAAGATATCCACTCCATTGACAGCTGTGAGTACATCTGGGAGGCTGGTGTGGGCTTTGCTCACTCTCCACAACCCAACTACATCCATGACTTGAACAGGTGAGAGGCTCTGCAAAGGCAGAATGGAAATGAGGGGCTTGGGAGGGAGGGATCTTAGGATGTTGGGCTCTCTGCCTCTGAAGGTGTCTGTGATTCCCAAGGATCCCTCTACTTCTTTCTGAGCTAACAGGGCTGGTAGCATGGAGAAATCCCAGTCTTCCCCTTGTATTGATTCTTGCAGTGGGATTTGGGAGTTGGAATGTCTGCAATGGGAGCTGGAAAACCTCGCTGCTTTGACCCAGGCCAGGACCTCTCTGTTGTATTTCTTTTTCATAAAGCAGCAATTCAGTGTAGTGCTTTGGGTTAGGGACAGCTGCATTGCTTCAAAAATTAAATCGAGTGCCCAAATGTGTGTGGGAAGGACTGCAAAGCTTGGACTGAGCCTTTCTTAAGGGTTGTTGTGTAAATGAATGTGCTGCCTGTGTCCCTCCCTGCTCCTGGATGACTCTTAAGACTTGGTCTTTTCTTCCCTTCTCTCAGGACAGAGCTGCTTAAGCTCCTTTTGACCTGTTTCTCTGAGGCCATGTATTTGCCTCCCTCGTCGGACAGCAGCAATGCCAACCCCTGGGTGCAGTTCTTCTGCTCTACTGAGAACAGGTGAGAGTAGACGCGCGAGTCCCAGGGGGAGAAGCGTCTCCCAGAGAGGCTGTTGGCAACAGAGGACCTTAGTGCTTGCTCCCCCCAACATGGTGGCTTTCCTTGTCTTTTTTCTTTGCTCTGTCTTGCTTTACATCCCTATTAGCTTCTCTGCTTAGTGAAAACTGTTCCTCTGCAGCAAAGAGAGGGACACGAGTGCAGCGCCCAGCAGGTCCCTGTTCTGCAGGTTTCTGCTCCCTGGTGTGGATGCTAGTGAAGCACTGCAGAGCAGGTTGTCTTCTGGTGCTTGGTGGCGAGTGAATACTGCCCTCTAGTGACATTGTCGTTTCTGGAAGTGACAGTCACCCATCTGGGGCAACATGGGCCTGGCTAGAGGCAGCCAATTTAGTATTTCCAGAGTCTGGAGAGCTTTGAGGTCCTGTCTCCTTTTCCAGATGGCTGGACTGAATCCCTCTGAGGGGCAACATCACCTTTTTCACCTCCCTTTCCCTCTCAGCTGCAGGCCAGGAGCCCAGTTAGGAGCTGCAGTGTTGGCTCGTGTCTCTTGGCTGCTCAGTCGTGGGTCTTGTGTTGTGTGCTGGGGGTCTCTGCAGTCTTGACCCAGCTGGAGCCTGCCCATACCTGTAGTTGTGACCATGTTGTGCTTCCCTCCCTCTGTCCCACTCTGTTTGAAATGAGAGTTTGGCTTTTCTTTTTCCACCTAAAGGCCATACTTGTTGCTTGCTGCTCCTGGAAACGTTTCCTTCTCCTCCCCAGACACGCACTCCCTCTCTTCACCTCGCTCCTGAACATCGTCTGCGCCTACGACCCAGTGGGCTATGGGATTCCTTACAACCACCTGCTCTTCTCCGACTACCGTGAGCCGCTGGTGGAGGAGGCGGCCCAGGTGCTGATAGTCACCTTGGACTATGACAGCTCCACCAGTTCAAGTCCCACTGTGGATGGCACAACCACTGGCACAGCTATGGATGATGTGGATGTGAGTGATGCCAGGACATTTCTGTGCAGCTCTCCTGAACACACACTCTCTCCATTGTCTTCTTATGTCATCTCACATTGAACACTGACCTGTAGGGCCCAACCACACTCCTCTCCTTGCAGTGTAAAGTTTCTTACCTCCTGCTTGGTGGCAGAACTCCTAATGTGTGGTTCCCTGCTGGCAAGTGCTCTGGCCCAGTCTTCTTGCTTCTTTCTGTAGGGCGCTAAAGAGCCACGAATGACCAAACCACTAGGTTTCAATGATTGATTTGAATCAGTACTGTGCAAGTGAAAAGCCCCTGACTTTACAGATCCCTTAAGGTGACTTGTTTCCTGGATTAATTCCAGTTTAAAGCTAGGTTATTCAGAGAGGAAAAATGAGGTGAGAGGCATTTGCCCCCAAAGCCAGTGACTTGACTGCCTGAGTATATCCTGTCACCAACAGCACTTTAAGGTTTCAATGATTGATTTGAATCAGTACTGTGCAAGTGAAAAGCCCCTGACTTTACAGATCCCTTAAGGTGACTTGTTTCCTGGATTAATTCCAGTTTAAAGCTAGGTTATTCAGAGAGGAAAAATGAGGTGAGAGGCATTTGCCCCCAAAGCCAGTGACTTGACTGCTTGAGTATATCCTGTCACCAATAGCACTTTGTTTTCTTTGAATGCAGCCTCCAGGACCAGACAATCTATTTGTAAATTACCTCTCAAGAATACACCGAGAAGAGGTAAAGTGCTCATGCCAGGAACTTCCTGTCTGATTTCATACTGATTGCAGTAGCCCTGGGCCCACCACAGTTTTTCCTGGTCTGTCAACAGGATTTCCAGTTCATCCTGAAAGGAGTGGCCCGCTTGTTATCAAACCCGCTGGTCCAGACCTACCTGCCAAACTCTGCCAAGAAGATTCAGTTCCACCAGGAGCTCCTCGTCCTCTTCTGGAAACTCTGTGACTTCAATAAGGTACAGATCTATTTACTGTCAAGCTTTGCCCCTCCCTTGCCTGGTACCCAGAGCCTGTTGTGGCTCTGGCTAAACCAAGCCCTGGCAAAGGCCTGTGTGCTTTGAAGCAGGTAGATGACAGTAAATTTGTGGTTTTAGGGTCAGCTGTGCTATTCTTTCCCAGGTGGGTTGTGGGTCTGGCCCAGGGAGAGATTGTGAGAGTGGCTGTAGCTCCTGGAGATCAGAGGTAGATGCAAGAGCAAGTATTAAAATAACTCTTCAAGTAAATGAAAATAAAAGGATGGTGTCTGTACCCAGCCTTTCTAACAGCCTTAAGAACCTGTTTGGGTAAAGACTGCATTGCTTTGAGTCCAGGGGATGATGGAGAAAAACAATTATAATTTTATTTGTCTGAAATCTTCCCCTTTCTTCCAGAAATTTCTCTTTTTTGTGCTGAAGAGCAGTGATGTTCTTGACATTCTCGTCCCAATCTTATATTTTCTCAATGATGCCAGAGCAGACCAATGTAAGTTGGTTGTTTTCAACAGTTGGGGCCATCTCTGCTTAGTAGTTACGCTAGAATGTTTTTAAGATGCTTCCTCTCTCCTGCTCAGTTGTAATTGTGGTTTGAATGCATATCCCTAGTCATCTGCAGGCATGAGGTAAGTGGAGTGGTCCCATTAGCTGGGTGTTAAATTTTGTAATGAGCTGCTAGCAGGACATGATCTGCACCACAGCAGAGGGCAAGGGAGATCCTTGGCATGGCCTCACCTTTTTGGGTCCTCAGGTCCAAAACAGTGTTCCTGATGCTGTGAAGAGGGAGAAATGGGTGACCTGCTCTCCCCTTGGTGTAAGTGGGGCATAACTCCATCACTGGGTGGTAGGAAGAAGTCAAATCATTCCTACTGCTACGTTGGTTTTACATCAAGAACTTAATGAAGAAAAGCAGGATCCATGTGAGATTTGTGTTGTGTTGGCTTCATAAACTCACTCAAGACAGATGCTGGTACTGGAGATGCAAAGAGCTCTGTGTGAGATGTTCCTTAGGAGGATGTTCTGCTTTGTGCAATTTTTCTTTCAGCCCTATTGTGTTTCTTATTTCTCCTATCCTCTCTCTGCCACCCTCCTATTTCCAAGAGCCCACAGGCCTCACCATGATATCTCTGTTTCCACAGCACGAGTGGGCTTGATGCATATTGGGGTCTTTATCCTCCTGCTCCTCAGCGGGGAGCGCAACTTCGGGGTTCGACTGAACAAGCCCTATTCTGTGCGAGTGCCTATGGACATCCCTGTCTTCACAGGGACACATGCAGACCTGCTCATCATAGTGAGTACCATGCTGCCAGGCCTCTTCTGTCCCTTCTCATTTTCCTCTCTCATAGTTCCACAGCAGTTGTTTTCCTCCCTCAGTATATTGGTCTTGCCTGGATGGCCAGTCCACTGAGTAGGTGGAAAGTCTGCAAGATGCATCCAAGCGCCAGTGGGATCGTTGCTCCCTGTTAGCCTGAGGTGATGTGTCTAGCCGGGGACATGTCATACCAATGATCCCAAAGAACAGGATTCGAGGTGGAGCTGGACCCATGCCTGAAGGAGAGTCTGGCATGGATGGGGGGAGGTGGCCGGTCTCTGCTGGACTTGCTTGTGGGTGGCAACGTCCCACTGTTGATCCCAGTGTTGACAGCGCTGTCAGCAGAGGCCTGCGGCCAGTAGTGCCTCCTGGCATGTCCATGCTTGCTTCAGATGAAAACTTCCCAGCAGCTTCTGACAAACCTCCAGGAGAAGATTCCCATTAGAAAAAGCAGGAAGAAATCCATCAGCCAGGACTGTTCTTGGTGCTGCTTTATTATTACTTTCCAGTATTCTCATTATGCTGCAGGCTCCCTCTGTGGGAATACCTGCCGGAGAGGGGAAGGGCAAGTTTGGAATTCTCTGAACAGGTCGTGGGGCAGTTGTCTTTCTATGTCTGAGGGCATAGTTCAGAAATGTGGGACAAATATTTGAGTTGTATGTTTGTGCTAAAATCAAATATGAAATCATTAGCTCCTTGGCATTTCAAGAAGCTATCATTAGGGTTCAGAGTCAACACCCATTGGAGATGAAGAGGATGGCTCTTACTTCCTGATGATTTATGTTTTTTATCAGGCTGTCTATGCACTCCGGAACAGCTCACAATTGGTTTCTGTTTGTGATGTTGTAGAGCCTAATCACGTTCCCAGAGGGTTCATGGGGAATGAAAGCTTGTGCTCCTGGAGCGCAAGGCTGCAGTGAGAGCAACCTTCCCCACCTGCGTAATTGTGGAGTACGCAGGGCCCTGCCTAGGCAGGAATGGTGTCAGGAAGCGATTAGCACGGGGGTGGCACTGGTTTTGGTCGAGAGGGTGCTTTCAGCAAGGGCCTGCTCCAGAATTCCTCCTTTCCTGTAGGTCTTTCACAAGATCATAACCAGCGGGCACCAGCGGCTGCAGCCCCTCTTTTCCTGCCTGCTCACCATCGTGGTGAACGGTAAGCGCCCGGCGGCGCAGCGCGAAGTACCTGGGGAGGGGATGGCTCCAGAGCCTGCCCTACCCTCCCCGTGTCCTCTCCTCCCTCTACCCCTTCACACTGACCGGACTCACTGGAGTGAGTCCGGTCACTGCTGGAGATGGTGACCTCAGGGCTGGAGGCACCTGCTGAAGATGGGCTCTGCCTGCAGGATGGTGCTTGGGCTCAGAGAGGCAGGTCAAGGAGGGGAGAGAGGGATCCCTGGAGCCCTTCTGGAGTTGCCATCACCCAGGTGGCCTGGTGAGGGTGGTGGCAGTGCTGTCCCTGTCCAGCAGGGAGTGCCACCTCCCTGCAGGGCTGGTGGCCTCCCCTGCATCTAGTGAGTGCCCAGGTGATTCAGGTTGTGCAGGATTTTCAGGGAGTGCATCAGCCATAATGTTCCTTAAAAGAAACTTTTCTTTAAAAAAAGTAAAGCCTGCTTTTGCTAGGAGGTATCCCTGTTTAACTTCTCTCATATTGGGAAGAGTTTCTATGGAACCCTGTTGGACTCAGTCCACGAGATTTTCCAGAAAGTAGAGCATGGGCAGGCAACAAGAGGGGCGTTGTCAGTGATGTCTTTATATTGTCCCTTGGAAGGGACCTGCCTGGTTTTCATTTCTTTGCCTTCTTTAGTGTCTCCGTACCTGAAATCTCTCTCCATGGTGGCTGCTAACAAGTTGCTGCATCTCCTGGAAGCTTTCTCCACTACCTGGTTCCTGTTCTCTGCTGTCCAGAACCATCATCTTGTTTTCTTCTTGCTAGAAGTTTTCAACAACATCATTCAGTACCAGTTTGATGGTAAGAGATGGGTTGCTCTATTTAGTGGTTTTCTACTAGTTTAGTCCAACAGAATATAAGCCTGAAGTTCAGAGAAAATCCGGACAGAGAGAAGTGTAGAAATCAGCTCTATGAAGACTTGTCTAGGACTGTTAATTTGGGAAGAAAACAATGTTGGGTTCTGACCCTTCTGTCTGGATTAGAGCAAAATAAAATGGCAGCTAGTTATCAGCATAGCCTCTGCCTCCTGCAGACCAGAAGATGGGGCTTGAGATGGGTAGGTTGTGGCTTGTATTGTGTTTCAGGGTACAGTTTCATTCTCTTTCCTGTCACAGGTAGTAAAAATAGGGGCCTTTTGGTTTTTCTTTTTCAAGCATATTTCTCCTCAAGAGGGATGCTCCAATCTCTTTGTTGAAGATGGAGGAATGTTGTTTCTTGACTGGTAACATTTTCCTCCAAAATGTTTGCTAATGCTGTTTAAACCGTCCCTTTTCTTCTCAGAAGTTTGAATGTCACTCTCTAAGCCTTTCTTCCAGTCATAAGTCTTCCAGCCTAGGAAGGATTTCACAGAATTTCTTGAACTGCTTTGTAATGGATAACAGGATACGAAACT